AGCATTCGTAGTGCACGTCGTCAAACTGCATGGCACCCCAAGGACGATAGTTTCGGACAGGGATAAAGTCTTCATGAGCGCGTTCTGGCGGCACCTTATGAGATTACAGGGGACCCAATTAAATTTCAGTTCCGCATACCATCCACAAACGGACGGTCAATCCGAGGCCCTCAACAAGTGTGTGGAAATGTATCTACGGTGCTTGGTCTATGACTACCTGAAAAAATGGCTTGCATATCTTTCATGGGCAGAGCTGTGGTACAACACTTCATTCCATCACTCAACCAACATGACTCCTTTTAAGGTTGTATACGGTCGGGAACCGCCACCCCTGATCCGACACTCTTCTCTCGAAGATACACCCTTTGATGTTCATCGTGCATTAGAGCAACGAGATGAGTTGCTAGCTCAGCTGAAGATCAACATCCGGCACGCTCAAGAACAAATGAAGCGTTATGCCGATGCTAAATGATGGGAAGTAGAATTCCAGGTTGATGACTGGGTACTGGTGAAGCTCCAACCGTACCATCAACATTCGGTTGCCCTTCGTCGATATCAGAAGTTAGCATTGGTGTATTTTGGCCCGTTTCGAGTTGTTGAAAAGGTTGGCAGTGTTGCTTATCGTTTGGCACTACCAGACCATGCCAAGATTCACCCTGTCTTTCATGTCTCTGTTCTCAAGAAGTTCCACGGGGAGGGCGAGCCAACATCATACTTACCTCTTCCGCTATGTACTACTCCAGAAGGTCCCATTTGCCAACCTCTCACGATTCTAGACAACCGAATCATCCGATGAGGTCATAACGCTGTACGTCAATTTCTGGTGCAATGGGATGGATCTCTTGACACAACGTGGGAAGACGATGAAACTCTCCAGTCATTATACCCCAACATGGACCTTGAGGACAAGGTCCCATTTAATGGGGGAGGTATTGTAATAGATGCCGTTGAGATGGGCTCAAATGGGAGTGATCCAAATACAAGTGGGCAGCCCATTATATTGAGGAAGAGCCGAAGAGCCCGAAGAAAGACCTGGAAGCTCAGGGAATTGGACGATGCGGAAGATATTATATAACAGCCTGGGTTGTTAGTAGTGGGTGTGCATGTATTCGGTTATTTTTCTTTCTGACAGATTCCCTGTGCGTCTATCTCTCTCTCTCTCTCTCTCCCCCTTCGTTCCATTGTAACTCTCGTTCTACATGTCTGTGTAGCGACCGTATTCATACTCTGAATTACCAGGCTTATTTCATCAGTTATAAATATATATATCCAGAGTTGCATTCATATTAACTGTGTATTATTAAGCTAACGTGACAACACGTGTGTGTTTGCAGGAGTATCAAGATTAAACAGATATTTTGCGTTCAGAGATGTACAAATGGAGTGGGGATGCAATAGAATATGATAAGAATGAAGCATACATATAGGCAGTGACGTCTCCCAATAACACGGATGGTAGCATCACAGGACAAGTGGTGAATAAGAAAAAGTGTGGATTTGAGGGGAAGCTGATTCATGACCTTGCTTATTATTGGCCTCAATACACTCCCATTACTCACAAGGCCGATCATGATCTTATGCTCTTCATTTTCTCTAAATGCACTGGTCATGCTGGTTCTCGTAATGGGTAAGTCACCTTCTGAATCCTAATATACTTGAATGCTGGTTCTCCAAATATACTCCCATTGTTTGAGTCAAGGGATTAAGTGTTTGGACTTTGCTCATATTATTGCGAAGGTGGGCTATTGTGAAGGACAAAGAGATTGCGAAGAAGATGACCAAGTTTATACACATGAGCTCTATTGGAGGGTCGAAAGAATCTCAAATCCGAGTTGCCAAGATTATTGAAGTTCTTTGCGATAGCTATAAGAATTTCAAACTTGGGTCTACAGCATCAAAGTTGTTCTTTGAGCATAGTAAACTCCTTATGAAGGAAAGGTGGGAAAAGCTGAGGGAAGTCATCGAACAACATGGTGATTTTAGTTTGCCGCAGTTTTCAAGGGCTTATTGTAACTTTTTGTTTCTTATTGTAACTTTTGCTTGTTTTCATTTACAGTATTTGGTTCTAATACTTTTTGTTGGGCCTTCTTTGGCGTAGCTTTTTCATGGTTGAAGTGCACGAAAGATGAAGATTGTGAGAATTATCTCGAAAAGAAGATGAAAATACTTGTTAGAGGTGGGACCCGATTTGGATCTGACTCAAGATATGCTAGACTTGGGATGGCGGGTAGAGGTGACGATTTTGATGAATTCTTGAAGAGCCTTTCAAAAAACATGTAATCGATAATTAGGCATTAAATTTAGTTGGAGGGGTAGATCTAATAAGAGGGTTATTTAGTAGAAATAATAGAAATATCTTTGTTTTGTAGAGTCATGGATATCAAAAGATGCCAAGTTGGACTTAGAATAAGATCCACCCATCTTTTATTAGGGGGTGTCTAACTTGATTTTTGTTTTAGTGAAAGATTGTGCGGTTGCAAAGGAACTATTTACAATAAATTTTCTCCTTATCATGCTATAATATAAATGTAATAATTATACTATATATATGATTTCTAAAGATTAATAAAAGAATAGGACGTGGATCACTTGCTAAAGTCAGAAACTAATAATAATAACACCCAGTCATCATATATGAACGGAAAAAAAGTAGACTTGAACCGACCACAACAGAGAAGATAATAATATGCATTTTAGTGAAATGTTGGATTATACTTTGATATGATAGTGCATATACTTGTTTCCCCATCTGTTCCAAAATAAATATTATTTTAGACGCGTCACTTTGTTTTTACAAAAAGGTAATTTTTGCCCACAAACTTGGCTGAGGTAATAAACTGTATTATTCCTATGAAGAAGAGAACACAAGTTCAAATTTAGTGAAGAGCACTTGTTGGAAGTGAAAACCCTTTATGCTCTAAGCCTCTAAAGGGCAAACCTTTGATCACATAAAAAAAAAATTGTTCCTTTAGATTTTCAAAAAAGTATTGGTTTTTTTGATAATTCTATGTTTAATAATGAGATCAGTTTATGGGAGTATAATTAATAACAGTATTCTTTTTTAAAAAAATTCATTGCATTTTTGTTAAATTAAAGGTTATTTATTAACTTTTTAACCTATATGTGGGCAACTCTAAAATGATAATGTTGGGTCCAAACATCCACATGTGTACTCTCTCTAGTCCTATATATAAAAAAGTTAGATAATTAATTTATAGATGTTAAGAAAAATAATTTAGTTATTTACAAATAAATATGTGTTAATTTCTCTAAAAATATTATTTTGATCATTATTCTATTAATAAAAACCTTCTTTCATATATGTAATCAATGAAGATACATTAAAAATAATTTATAAATTTGGAGGGACAAAGTGAATAGAAAAGTATTAAGTTGATTAGAGGGCGGATCACATGCAGAGAGATGAGAAGCACAAGAAAATTGCAGGCAGAGTGATTAATCCATGAAGCAGCATAATCACGACCTCTTCCTTCTTTCAAGTGATTTGTAATTAATTTATATTTACTCCCTCTTATTTTTATCATTAGCCACTTTCAATAAAACCTTGAAACTTAAGATGGACGTACACCAAAAATAAAAAATTAATAGCCATATCTATGTGGGCATAAATCAAATGATGAATTAAAAATTATCCAAAAAATGTCCACCGTTTCTATTAGTTGTTTTAATCCAGTGGCTTTTTTAACGGAATAGAAATTTCTTTCAATTAAGCTGAGGATGAACATTGTTCATTCTCTGACCATGATGGAATAAAGATTAACAGAATTAACGACAAAACATGCATGAAAAGTGAATTAATCTTGAGATTAATAATTTCCATTTCGAATTCTAAGGTGCTTATTACATTGAATCAAACGCAGGTCTCTTATCATTCAATTCATGTAATGTGAAGGTTAAAAATAGAAACAAAAAACAAGGGGGATTGACCATGGAAGATTAATTCATCTTTGGATCCTGAATGTTCCGTATGTTTCTACAAGTAGAACAATTCAAATCTTATCAAGAACTCAATTATTATAATTGTCCTTATAACATGATAGATTATAGCCCCATTTGACTGGTAACTTACAATGTTTTTTCCCCCTCAATATTTGACATTATAATCAATGTATTAAAATGAATTAAAATTTATGGCTCTGCTTGTAATTTTATTGTTCATGCATTGCAATTTTTTCCTTACTATATTTCCACCTTTCACTCATAATTCTCTACTTCCATTTCAAATTTTGAAATGTTTATAAATATATAAATAATATACTCCTCCGGTCTTTAATATAAGATTTATTTAACTAATTTGATTAGATTAAGGAAGTTAGGTAAGTCAATTAATTATAAGAAATATGACATGTTTTTCCTAAAACACCATAATTATTTTCCTCAATATCCTCTCTCCCTCTTCCACTTGATTATGGTTGAAGAAAATCTATAAGGGTAATTTAGAAAAAAATTGATAAATATGAGAAATAGGTCTTATATTTAGGACTAAAATCAACTCAACAATTAGGTCCTATATTAAGAACCGGAGGAGTAATATTTATTCTAATTATTGGCGGATTCATTTCACTGAAAACAATGGAAGAAACTAGTTTTCTAATTAAAGCAATCCTCTCACCTCTAGCTAAGTATGCGGATGAATTATCCATTCATTACATATTCATTATAAAATATGATAAAAATATTTTTTTAAAAACTACCTTAAAATTAATCTAATCCTTTGTATTTACCACATACATGTAGAAAGCCACGCTCCTAAGATTAGATAGCTATTATGACTGACGCAATCTACATGATTTCCTTAGTTCTCTATATAGTGATCCGCGCGTTGGGATTCATGAACGCTTCACTTGTAACTTTACTATTTATAGAGGCACAACCCTCTATATATACACACACACTCACAAACACAAACATAGTATCACCCAAAAGATCACCAAGCAGATCTAGAAGACAAAGACACAAATTAAAGACTTTAATACATCATGAAGAGCTTCGTTGCAGACAAAACGAGCCTTTATCACACTACTGCTCCATCACTGCTTCCAAGCCTTCCATCTCTTCCTCTCAACAACAACACAAACACTAATGGCTTCGCCTCCTCCACTAACATCTCTTCTGTCCCCAGCTCCTTCATCAACCTCGACCAGTAAGAAATCAATTCAGATTTATGTCTCTATGTGTGTGTGTTACGTTGATAGTATATATAGTTTATGGTTTGGTTGTTTCATCTTGCTGAGTGATTCTGCAGAGGAGATCCAGTGGTGTTTAAGGCGTACTGGACGAAGATGAGCGAGGAGTGTAAGGTGGAGATAAAGGGGTGCGAGCTTCTGAGTTATCTGAGTGATCTGAGGAGCGTGTGTTGGTTCATGATGCCGGAGCTCAGAGACGCCATTAAAAGGCTTCATGCTTTGGTCGGTAACGCAGAGACGGACGATAGGCACATTGTGGTTGGAAATGGCTCCACGCAACTCTTTCAGGCAGCTCTCTTCGCTCTCTCTTCTTCTTCCTCCTGCGATGACCACATCAACGTCGTCGCTGCTGTTCCATATTATTCGGTAAGGTTCTCTTTGTTTCTCTTTCTCTCATCCAAATCCTTCCGTTAATCATGGAGGTTTTTGTTTATGAGTTATTATTGCACAAAAATGATAAATGGTTTATTTTTGTCTTAATAGAAGTGCTGCTGACAAAAATTGTTACAGATCGTGGGTGACAATCGCCGAGCCACTAATTTCCATTTAATTTTATAAGTCTTGTCAAAGGCATCTGTTTTATTACCAGACAACAAAATTGACAAACGCTTTTTTCGGAGACAATAATAGGAAACGCACAACTAACACATTCACATTGAGACTTGCATGAACTTTCAGATTATACACGCAAAACATAATAACATGAGAGTCGGTCTTCAATAACTTGTGTATGCATATTGTTCTTGTTGGTCAATCTGAAAAATGGAATAATAATAATCTCTAATATTTTAAACACGAGCTTTTGGTTTAAGAAAAAAAAGAACACTGAAACATGTGCGTGGGCGCGCGCAGGAGTACGAAGATCAAACAGATATTTTGCGTTCAGGGATATACAAATGGAGTGGTGATGCAATGGAGTATGATAAGAATGAAGCATATATTGAGGTAGTGACATCTCCTAATAACCCAGATGGGAGTATGAGAGGACCTGTGGTGAATAAGAAAAAATGTGGAGTTGAAGGGAAGCTGATTCATGATCTTGCTTACTACTGGCCTCAATACACTCCCATTACTCAGAAGGCCAATCATGATCTTATGCTCTTCACTTTCTCGAAATGCACTGGTCATGCTGGTTCTCGTATCGGGTAAGTCACTCTCAGAATCATGTATAATTGAATGTCTATACATAATAATGTTTGAGTCAAGGGGTTGAGTGTTTGGTTTTGGCTTATATTATTGTGAAGGTGGGCTATTGTGAAGGACAAAGAGATTGCGAAGAAGATGACCAAGTTTATCCAGATGAGCTCCATTGGGGTGTCGAAAGAATCTCAAATTCGAGTTGCCAAGATAATTGAAGTTCTTTGCGATAGCTATAAGAATTTCAAACTTGGGTCTAAAGAATCTAAGTTGTTCTTTGAGCATAGCAGACGCCTTATGAAGGAAAGATGGGAAAAGCTAAGGGAAGTTATCGAACAAAATAGTGATTTCAGTTTGCCAAACTTTCCAAGGGCTTATTGTAACTTCACTAATGAATCAACTGAGACATATCCTGGTATGTTTTATTACTTGATTATGTATTTACATTTGCTCATTCCATTTATATATTAATTGGTTCTAATATGTTTTGTCGGGTTCCTTTTTTTTTAGCTTTTGCATGGTTGAAGTGCACGAAAGATGAAGATTGTGAGAGTTATCTAGAGAAGAAGATGAAAATACTTGTTAGAGGTGGGACCCGATTTGGATCTAATCCAAGGTATGCTAGACTTAGCATGGTTGGTAAAGGTGAAGACTTTGATGAATTTTTGAAGAGGCTATCAAGAAACACCTAAGAGATTAGGCATTAAACAGTTGGAGGGGTAGATCTAATTATATGAGGGTTATTTAGATTGATAGCTGTATTTTGATTTGTGGCTTCATGAGAGTATCAGAAAATGTCAAGCAGCTAGGTTTTAGAATAATAGAAGTATGATCTAGGTTGATTTTGTTTAGTGAAGTTTTGTATTGCTGCAAAAGAAACTATTTACAAATAATATAAAGCATGCTTAATTTCCATTGGCTCTTGTTATTATATATTGCTCACAAGCGTTTTCTATGTTTTCAAAAGGGATTTACCTTCACCCTGTAAAAGATACTAAAATAATTTCAAAACTATCTAAAGGAATGTTGAAGTTTAACTGCCCTTAATTGTCGCTTTGGGGTTACTCCAAAAATTAACCGAATTAATGCAATATAGTGCACAACTCGGGTCGTTTCACTTTGAGGAGCCGAAAACGAAATTAAATCCTAGTAAATAAATGCAAGTAACCTAAACTATAAAAAGGATTTTTGATTTGAGTTTGAAAAATTACTAACTAAATGCCTTGAATTAAATTGAAATTAAAATACTTTTTTTTTTGTTATTTTCTTTTATGTAAAAGATGATTGAAATAACTGAAGATGAAAGAAATGAAAATGAGACACACAAATAACACTGATAATAATCAATCCTCCAATTCAACAACGCAGGCAATCATCACTCTAAAAGATGTGGGAGTTAAAAACAATGAATTAAGAATTATAATTAAGCTTTTGATCCAACAACCGAGCCACCTCGAGTTGCCACAAAATATTTTCCTAAAATCCCAACTTACTAACTGCAACCAGAATAGTAAAATGGGATTAAGGATGCTAAAAACCAATGCTTAATTAGAACTCTTAAATCCAAAATAACAGAATTAAAGCTAGCAAGAGACTATATGATCCAAAATTCTAAGCCACCTTAGAAAATCACAATATATTAATTCCAAAATCAATACAAATGTCATAACCACAACATTATAATTGAAATCAAAACTATAAACAGCCCAATGTCAAATGCTAAGCAATAATTCAGTCACAATAATCCCCAAATATAATCAGATTAAGCAATACAATTATCTCAATAATAGAAAAACTATCCTAAGACCTAGGAATTGTTAAACAATTATTGAGTAGGAAATTAAAGCAACTAAAACTCCCCTTTGATGATCTAAGCTCCTGCCATTATTGTTGAATTAGAGAATTGTGAAGCTAGCCACGGTTTGCCATAAAAATTGTCATATTCAGAATTTTGCTACGGTTTGCCATGGAGGGAACAATGGAACAGTGGATGATTTCTTTCTCCTGCGTTGCTGGCAGCAGTGAAGAAGAAGCAGACAATGCCGTCGAGCCTGCTGGTTTACTCGCCGTCGACGTCCTCTGTTTTTCCCAGCCCTCAGCTCCTTCGCGTGCGTCTTCAGCTTCCGTTCGGCGTGCTCTGTTTTTCCGCTGGTGCCGCTTGCGTTCGGGAGAAGAAGAAGATGATGGGTGCTGTCTCTCTTCTGCTCCAGGTCCGTGTTCGCCGTCCAGCTCCTGTTTTCGGCTTGCCTTCCGTGTATGTGTCTTCCCGTTCGTTGCCGCCGCTCAGCTCTGTTCGTGTGTGTGTGTTCGGCGTCTTCGTCGTCCCCCCTGGAGAAGATGAAGATTATAGTATATTAGGTTGGGGGGGCAAAACGCAACGTTTTGCCCCCTTTTTATTATATTTATTTTTTTTAATTTATTTTTTTTTATTTTTTTTTTTCTTTTTTTTTTTTATTTTTTATTTTTTAATCTTCCAAAAACCTGCAAGCAAAATTCAAGGATAAGGTAGCATTAATTGTCCTTAAAAATCAATTAGTCACAATTAAACCAAAATATGACAATTTTGCCCCTATAAAATAATAATTCAAAATAAAATATATTAAATCAATTAATAATCAAAAAAGGCAAAAAGACAATTAAGTTGACAAAACCCATATAAAAGATACAAAATATATAAAAATAATTGAGTTTGTCAACTCCCCCACACTTAGCCTTTTGCACTCCTGGGCAAAACATCATTAAAGAAGAATCCAATAGAGACACTCAATGCAAGCAAACATAAAACTAACTAAGCATGAATGTGCAATTAACTCAAGCAACCTTTATTCTTGATTAATCAACAATCATAGAATACTTCAGTGCAAAGAAATTAACACAAGAAACATAGCAGGATAAAAGAAGAGAAACATAATAGAGCTCACATAGGGTACAAGTGTTTCACTCATCTCTCAAATGGGAAAAATTTCACTCAATCACCTAGATTAGCACCTACCATAAGCTTGTAGAGATTCTAATATCTCCACTACTAACATACCTTAGAGTCATGATCAAGGGGACTTGAAGGGTTGTAATGTTGGAAAGCAAGGTCAAATGAATGAAATGAACTAGCAACTGAAATGCATGAGTAATAAAGTATCAACTCAAAGTGAGCTAAAGTACAATCATGAAACAACACCAAAGTGCAAATTTTAACCTTTTAAGACAAAAATCTTTGCTCTTCAAACCACCATGGAATGCTTTATTTCAAAGAACTTTCTTTCTTTGGCTTTTCTAAACATTTTCTTCTCTTTCTTGCCTTTTTTTTCTATTTCTTTTTTTTTCTTTTTTCTTTTTTTTTTTGCATCCAAACTCAAGAAGGCAAAGATATTGACTTTAATGATGTACTTTTCAAAATGAAAAATCAGATAACTCATGCAAAACACTTGCTTAAAAGTATGAATGGAATGAAAGTGAAGGCTCAAAGGGGTGAACAAAGGTTAAATGAAGTGGTTTGTGTTTGGGTAAAGGGTTTAGAAATGAATGCCCCTATCATCTTCACAAACCTAGGTATTAATGCAGCTTTGAAAAAGAATCTAGACAAGTTCTAGAGGTTAACCAAAACTAGGTGAAAATCACACAAGATGAGAAAATATATGGCTCAACAATCCTTCCATCAAGGCTTTCTCCAAGATGTTTCCTCCTTAAGTATCAAGCTATGAAACAAGGTTAATAACACTGCACCAAAGGCATTCTACTATGCTAATCAACTAAGAACAGAAATCACTTAAATCAAATGCAATCAAACTCAGCCGTGCAACATTCACAAGCATTGTGCAAAAAGATTTTAAAAGAGATGCCCAAGGATTACAAAAGTCAAGAGTCAGCAACAGAGAGAAACAGCAACTCGCCCATACAGCAGTGCAGAGCACTGAGGCGAATGAAAATAGGAGGACACAGAAACTAGCAGCAAAATTCCCAAGCAAGAATCACTCTCAAATCATGCGATGCAATTCAGAAATCAACCAATAGGCAGAGAAGAGAGCAATTATAGCAGCAATACTTAGGAAACAGGAGCAAATCCAAAGGCAAAATTTTTTTTTTTTTTTTCAAAAGAAAGCTCAACAACTCAACAACAATCCCTCCCCCACACTTGATCAATACATTGTCCTCAATGTTAAGATAATGTGAAATGAAAATAGACAAATATAAATCAAGTGATCAGAAGAGATGGCAGAATCAAGAGGAAACAAAACAAACAACTACTAAACAGAAATAAACAGCTACAACTACAGCTACTGGAAAAGTTCCCTCCCCCACACTTACTCCTAACTATCTCAGCAAACAGATATCACCAGCAATACAACATAAAGTAAAAGAGTAGGGTGGAAGGGAACAACCGGGTGATCAGGGAGGTCTGTGATTCTCATGGTAGTGCTTCAGTAGATGGCCGTTGACTTGTGAAGTTATACCGGTCTCCTCATCTACGAGCTCTACCGTGCCAAAGGGATATACTTTAGTAACTCTAAACGGACCTTCCCACTTGGTGACAAACTTCCCGGGCATCAGCTTCAACCGGGCTTTAAACTTTAGAACCTTGTCACCTTCATGAAACTGCTTCCTCAGAATCTGTTTGTCATGAATCATTTTCAGCTTGTCTTTGTAGATTCTGGCATTGTCGTAGGATTCAAGTCTCATCTCTTCAAGTTCCTGGAGTTGCATCTTCCGATTGATAAGTGAAGATTCGAGATCTGCATCACATGCCTTGATTGCCCAATAAGATTTGTGCTCGATCTCCATAGGTAGATGGCAAGCCTTGCCATAGAGCAACCGGAAGGGGGACATGCCTATAGGGGTCTTGTAGGCAGTCCTGTAAGCCCAAAGAGCTTCCTCAAGCCTTTCACTCCAGTCCTTACGGGATGGTTTCACGATCTTCTCAAGTATTCGTTTCACTTCCCGGTTAGAGACTTCAGCTAACCCATTCGTCTGAGGGTGATAAGGAGTGGCCAGCTTGTGATTGACTCCATGTTTAGCCAATAGAGACTTGATGGTCCTGTTGCAGAAGTGTGTTCCTTGGTCACTGATGATTGCTCTTGGAATGCCATACCTGCAAAAGATATGAGAACGTAAAACTTGGCAACAGTAGAAGCATCATCTTTCCTAGTTGGCACTGCCTCTACCCATCTAGACACATAATCTACTGCAAGTAATATGTATGAAAACCAAAAGACGAAGGGAAGGGACCCATAAAATCCATGCCCCACACATCAAAGATTTCACAAAAATGCATAGGTCTTAGAGGCATCTCATGCTTCCTACCCAAACTCCCAAACCTCTGACACTTATCACAAGACTTGCAGAAAGAATAAGCATCCTTAAATAGAGAAGGCCAATAAAAACCACACTCTAAAACCCTCCTAGCAGTCCTATTAGCACTAAAATGCCCCCCACAAGATAAAGAATGTGCAAAGGTAAGGATAGAGTGGATCTCATTATTTGGAACACAGCGTCTGATGATCTGGTCACTGCATTGCTTCCACAGGATTGGAGCATCCCAGATATAGTATCTTGCCTCCCTCTTCAGCTTATCAATCTGAAATTTAGACATAGAAGGAGGTATAAGGTCAGTGACAAGATAATTAACTATATTAGAGTACCAAGGCTCATGAACAGCCAAGGCAAAAAGTGCAGAATCAGGAAATGAGTCAATAACAAG